GGTGGTGGACACCTCTTTGGCGGCGCCGGTTGTGTGCCTGAACTGGCTTTAGGCTTAGGTATGGGTGTGAATGCGTTGCGTCACTGTCGTCGCCGCAAAGCGCGCACGGTCTTCAGCGATCCACAATTATCAGGGCTGGAGAAGCGTTTCGAAGCTCAAAGATATCTTTCGACGCCGGAACGTGTGGAGTTGGCAACCGCTTTGGGTCTAAGTGAGACACAGGTGAAGACATGGTTTCAGAATCGTCGAATGAAGCATAAAAAACAGCTGAGACGGCGAGACAATACTAATGGTGAGTACTTTAATAAACTTTCGTTGGGTTTAGATAGAAACTCAGTATTTTTAATAGCGTGTCATACACAAGTAGATCTATTAGTCTATCTTTTTATATATATAGTATTGACAAACGGCAGCGTTAACTACATTAATTTGGATTAATTCAGAAGTCAGTGAAGATAACTTCGTTGCTGACTCCCATTTAATCCTCAAAAATTTAGAGAGTTAGCTGCATTTGCGTTAGCAATATTGTTAAAAATGGCCAATTTTTATCTACTGTGAATAAAAAATAAAAAACACTGACAGTTGTTTCTCAAATCTTCATGATGTTGTGTTATGTTGCAGTTTTAAAAATAACGTATTGATATGTTTTTGTAATAAAAAATGGTTTTGTAAAAATTGGTCAGCTAACAACCGCAATGTTTATCTTCTATCCATTTTCATTGATAATATTATAAAAATGACGTTTACGAAAGCTTCAAACTCGCATAGCTGCCGTTTGTCACCTACATATTTGGAGCTGATTAAGTGCGCAGTTAATCCGCATTAACTCTGCCGTCTGTCAAAATACTTTATAAAACTTCTGCATAATGCTTTTGGCGTATGGACTGAATTTTGATATTTTGTTTGCGGAAATATGATATTTAAAATTGCCACATTTTACCTTATCGTAACAATTATTATGTTTATTAAAAATGTCTCTTCATCTGTCATTCTCTCAACTAATTGAAAAATCGAACAATGTGGCACGCTTTAGTTGAAGATCGCCAGACATTCGGTATCAAAGGTTCAGTTGCAGCGTATAGTCCTTTAAAGAACTCGAGCAATTTGAAGTGTTCACATGTAGTTATGACTTCTCGTGGAAGAATTTTGGTTTCCAATTTCGAGTTCTGATTGAACCATAATAATAGCTGCTTTTAACTTTCAGTAATCTGATAGTAGTTCGTCAAAAGAATTGACATGTTCAAGACCGTTTTCTCATTTTCCACTTAGTCTCTTCAATATTTTCTTCGTTTTTTTATTTAAAGTTACTACTTTTCTCTCAAAATCTGAAAGTATTCGAATATATCGTCATCATTTATATTGGCGTAGACTCCGATTACCCGGTAATAGCCGAGTTTACAAGAGAGCACCGGTCGTTAGTTCTTCCTTTTCACGCCATTTCATCTTTCGTATTTTATAAGGAAGAGAGCCAAAGTTTAAATTTTTATAAATCTCATAGAGTTTTATCGAATCACTGCTGATGTGACCTTGCGTGGTCCTTATGGAACACAATCTTCTTTCCTATTGACCAAGGCTGACTACGTCGAGGCGGTTGTGCTTCAAACATTCCAATTATTGATGATACAAGTCTGAATTAAGACCCAAAGCTTAACTTTTTTTTTTTATTAGCAAATAGTTTTCCAGAGCGTTTTGCATCTTTCGTCGAAATTACCAGAAATGAATTGACGGAACCAAATTTGGGCGAGATTGGCTCTCACACTATCAGAACCGCAAACACTATTCACATTTTCAGCAAGCCTGACTTACGTTTTCGACTTTATCGAAAAAAACTGCAAACTATGGAGTATTTTATCTTTGCTGGCGTCCACCTTTGACGGTTCTTAAACAATTCAGAGTCAAGCAATCACAAAAATATCTGAGAAAATATTTCAGTACAAAATCCTATTTTTCCAAGGCCATTCCCCAAGCGGGCAGCGGTAGAATTTTGCCGCTGTAAAGTATGTCTGTCATAAGAGGCGACTAAATCCAATATACATATGTACACTATGTTTGTTATTTTACTGCACTCGAAATATCAGCAATATCTTGTCAGAAATACTCAGCTTGAACTAATATTATAGACTTTGAATGAGATTCCTTCTAATGAAAAGACATTTGAAAATCAAGCCATTCATTAAGTTTGATGTGTGCTCAACTGGTAGTAGCAAAAGCTATAAGGTCTGGCCGGAGACTTAAATTTTGTACCACGGGGTGCTGTTAGTCCTTGCAGTTGGCTCCAATCTGCTCATTGGGTTTGGGCCTTTGAGGTGGGTTTGAAAGTAAGGGTATGTAGAATAGAAAATTCAATTCAGTGTGAAGTCGCACTGCAGCTGGCTACCGGACCCAAAGCACAGCAGAGGGTTTAGGTTGACCTCTAATGCGACCAAGGTGGAAAAGGTGTCCCTTCCACCTGACCAATTGGGACCAAATAATACTTGCAGAAATTATGTATTATTAGCACGCTGATCATTGTTTCGATCTATGTGCTTTTAAGCACCGTGTTGTAAGGCCGTCGTCGGCAGGAACTCACGTAAAACACAACGACTGTTGTTTTCCAACATCATATAGCGTAATACGAACGCACTTACCCATACATACATTTCGAGACACAGAGCATTAAAGACAAATATTGTATATTAAAAATTCGGAGTTTTTTTCTTACTGGACCTAATATTAACAACGATTATGAGACGAATGTGCGAAATAATTATTTCAATCTGGTCAATTTTTTTTCTCAAATATAATACAATTTTGAAACGTAAAGGTCCATAAATATGTCGTTTATTACTACTTTGACACCATCTCAGCTCCTAAAAGTTGTAAAAGCTTCTCAAAATTCCTAAAACAAATTCATAATTTAATCGAAGGCGGTTGAATAGTGTGAAAGGACGTTCATAGCGGTCAAACAAAGAAACTTCAAGTCCTTACACTTGCCTTTCCAATGTTGAAAAAGAGAAAAAAATTACCGCAAAAGCTTGAGAAAATTGTCTTGGTACTTTGGAAACTCAACAAAACTTGTCTTGTCCATCAACGTTGCACTGCTGCAGCCAATTAAATTGACAATATTTCACATAATTACATTTACCAAAACTCCAAGAAGTACAAAGAAAAACTTTCTGCACAACAACAACAATAATGCAAAATTTTTTCCTTTATCTTTTGTTTGGCATTCCATTTGCAGAACCCGTTGACTTTTCACGTTCGGACGGCAGCAGCAGTCACAGTGCAAAGAGCAGCAATAATGCGACGCTACCAAATGCCAGTAGCCACGCCAACAACAATAACAACCACATGCAACAGAGTGGCAGCTCAAGTAACAGTAATAATGGCGCAGACAATATAAATGGCGTTGAAAAGGCATTTGCTGCACAGGCTTATGCGCGCGAACAGCAACAGCAACAGCAACACGCAACGCATTCACACCCACACGCACAGACACTTCCAACACACTTGCAATTACGTGGCAACACTAATACTTGTAATAATGGCAGCGACTCGCTGGGTGGTGGCGGTGCGCATTCCCAACTGCTGCATGACGGCCACAATGTTGCGTCGCATCAGCAACATTTGCAAATGTTGCGCAATATTTCAGGTGGTCAATTGGAGAATGCCATGGGCTTTCTGCAACATGATTACTCCACGGACGATTACTCGGATGTGGATGATGACGAGGAGGACGAAGACGACGGCAGCGACGTGGATATTGTCGGCGATACGAAGCTCTATCACCTGACATAATGTGCGTAATATAGTATATAGTAACGGATATGAGAGGCGGAAATGTAATTGAACTTAGAAAAGAACACAAGTTTGAACTTCCACTGCTAGAACTTAAATAGGAAAGTATAATATTTTTTCCTAAATCCTGTAAATAATTAATGTGCGCAAGGATACTATAAGTTTTAGAATAAATATAAAATACATAAAGTTAAAATTCGAACTCGAGGGTGAAGACCTCGTTAATGTAAGTGTTATAGAAGTGGCGGAGTCATATGCAAAACATTTTGCTCATTTACTCTTCCACCAAGCAACGGCTAAACACCCTTTACGATCTCAATTGAGGGTATCTAAATATGTTCACCAAGTGTACGCACACTGACATACCGAAACTTTCAATGCTTTGATTGCGTTCCCAAAGATTTAGATCACTGTATCGTAGAAGCTTTTCTTTTTCTCTTCTCACATATCTTCAAAAGATTTGTGTGCTGAGCGGGGAAAAAGAAGTTGGAGAAGAAGAGCAGTGATATTTTTCACGGATGGCTTGTAGTTAAGTGGGAGAGTAAGAGACGATTTGTCAACTCTGGCTTTAGACTAATATACCGTTGTAGCGCCTTTAAAGCGGAGATATTTGCCATCAAGATAGCAGTATATATAATATATTGTTTTGAAGTTTCTTTAAAAAGGTTTGCAGTATATACTTATACTGCTATGAAGTTCCTTCAAAGAGGTGTGCATTCAATTCGATATCCGATGGGCTATACTTGCTTTGACGTCGCTGACAACGGCAAATTGAATTCATTAATTTTACAATAATTACATCTGATATAGCTAGTATTCTCACCTCTCTCATCGGTTTGTATGGGTATCATACATACCATTTAGTCCAGATCTATTGAAATTAAGCGGTGGAAGCGATCCGAACTATTTTAGAAATTTTCGTGTTATTAGTATAATAAAACGGTCCTTATTCGGTAAGCTGTGTGCAAAGAACATTTGTTGAAAGACGATGATGCAAAAATGAAATCGTACATAGATTAAAATTTCAATTTATTGATCCTTAAATCGTTTTTTATCGCATCTAGTGAATATAACCAAAAAACGATTATATCGATGGTTAAATAAAATGTAAAACAATTAGCCTCCAACACCTGTTCTTAATATACATACAAATCTAGAGATTTATAAATAATATCTTAAAACAATATATAATAATTTATATACATATATATTTTTACTTTTACTTTTCAAAACTTCATAAAAGTTGCATCCTATTATAAACTCTGATTTAATCTGAGCTTGGCAATAAGTTGAGAGAATAAATCAACAGGCGCTTTATCGGCGCAGCCTTGTGAACAGTTCGGTTGCTTACTGCCAATAGCATTACCGCTCTCTGCAGAAGAATATATCAACAAAGCAAGGGTCTTAACTCGTTGACAACAACCGCATTTGCAACCCGGTTTTGGATCACACGGTTTAACTGTAGTGGGTACTGCTTCGGAACTAGTTTCTGTACTTAAATCCCGAACGGTCGTGCTTATAACTGGTTCTTCAGGTTGTGGAGTGCTTGGTTGTTCAGTTGCTACAGTAGTTACTTCAGGTTCGGCCTGAGTGGAGCTCTCACTTGGTTCTTCAGTTGCTACAGTAGTTACTTCAGCTTCAGGCTGTGTGGAGCTCTCACTTGGTTCCTCAGTTGCTACAGTAGTTACTTCAGGCTCGTCCTGAGTGGAGCTCTCACTTGGTTCTTCTGTTGCTACAGTAGTTACTTCAGCTTCAGGCTGTATAGAGCTCTCACTTGGTTGCTCAGTTGCTACAGTGGTCACTTCAGGTTCAGGCTGAGTGGAGCTCTC